TATAAGTTATATTATTGTAAAGTTTCATTAAAATCCATTCAGTTGTTTTTGCGTGAAAGAGTACCAAACATCCACACAAACCTTCACGTTTACAATATTAGTAAGGATATACTGTAGGACTTCTATTTAACAAAGTTGCTAAATCCCGAAAAAAAATTTCGTTATAGGGAAAATTCATTAAATACAGATTCAGTTTTTTTTATATACATTGAGGCCACATAAAACAAATTTTTAATTCATAAATACTATATATTTCTTTAAAAAAGTAATTTTTCACCCTTTTTTTGAAAATTTTAATATCTGAATTCCTTTTATATATCTTACCTATCAAAAAGAAATCTGAAAGGAGAACAAGGGGGGACATTGTCCAAGAATGTATTGTATATATATTTTCAACTTTAAAAAATAATTTTATATTAAAATTAATGAATATTTTAACGGCAATTCCTAATTTTAAGCATACAAGTAATTATAAACATACATTGTTTTATAACCAGTAATTTTAGTTGAAGACATATGCGTCCTTATATTTAATTACTGATAAAATCTGCTAATTTTACTTGAACTTTGTACGAGAAATTACGGCCATTTCATTATCTTAGGTGAGTTAGGCACATGGTAAAACCAATTCAAGGCTATTGATCCACCACAAAATGTGCTAAAAGAAAGCATAGCTTAAATATTTTAAAAATAGGGCGAAAAAAATCAAATCACAAGAGAAAAAGTTCGATAAATAGAAAATGCACTTTGCTATTTGGAGGTTATTTTATGATTATAATAATACATTTCCTTAGTTCCTAGAGAAATTCGCAATATACAAAAGTTCGTTATATGGAGGTTTGAATGTGAATATCTATCTGTCTTTGTGTGTGTATAATGATTCTCTGTTTTAATCTTCTTGGTATGCTTTTCATTAATTTATTTTGGTCCTGAATCTATCAAGACAAACACATCACGTGATATTTAATTATTTTTATTTACCCGTTTGTGGGGAATACTGAATTAAGTGCAACCTTAGTTCTCAAAAAAGGTCCACATCGTAAATTTTTTTGGTGAGATTTTTCTGGTTGCATCATCCAACCCATTTGGCGAGCAAAGATTAAAATCACTTGATAATCGATCATTCTGGGGATTCACTTAGCTAATCTACTCAAGATTAGCTATACCACTGTCTTAGAATATAATAAATATATAACTTGGACAACTATATATGGAACTGGCAAGTGATTATGTGAAGAAATTCTTTCGAAGGGAATTTTATGGGGGAATACGCCCCCCTATAAACTTACAAATTCGTCCCAAGTGCCTTTTGCAGCTATATAATTAGCATGTTGGTTTACCAGATTTCAAGTCTATAGTCCTAATAGTTCCAGAGATCTCGTGTTAAAAGGCCCCCGACTAGGTTCGAAGACCAATTTTTCCAAAATTGATTATCAGAAGAATTTTATTATTTTAAAGAATATAAATAGGCTTAAAGAGTTATAATTATGAAATAAATACCATGCATCACCTCTGTTTCTGAAAAAAAAAATTATTTTAATAAAATTTTTTAAAAAATTTCAATTTCAGGAAAAACAGCTTAAAAAAATATATTGGACATAATGTAATTTTAATTGCATTGATATATTTATTTATCCACCTGAAGTGTCACAAACCGCAGGTTAAAAAATATTTTCAAAAATAAATATTTAATAAGCATTCGAACTTCACGTTAATGATTTTTCGTCAAAATTACTCTTTATTCTATGCTAAAAAGGACTATAAAATGTTATTAAGTGTAAGTATCTTAAAAACTGTGGTTTGCTACACTCTCAAGGGCTTATAACATAAGTGTTGCAAATTTCATTGAATTTTATATAATTGTTCTGGAGATATCCCAGTTTTCGTGCAAAAATTATCGTGAAAATTTCATTTTTCAAAAAACACATTTAAAAATATACTTATAAGTTACATAAAGTAAATATTAAAAAAAAAACTTAAAATTCTCTCCAGTTTTATAGGTAATTCCTTCTTTTTCCTCAATTTTTATATTTCTTTTTTTTCGAATGGGCCTTCTCTGCAGGTTTTTGCTGTTGGCAGTGAGTGACGTTTTGAGTCTGCAATGCGCTCATTATCGAAGATTTTTTGTCCCCGTATAGTATTATACCCCGAAAAAATACCCATTTCATTTAATATGGATATTAATCCCTGAAAGCCATTATTAAACTGCACAACAGTAATATATGCTCCTAAACGAAATGTTTGATGCTCAACGAAAACTTCTTTTGGTAATATCTGCCACAAAATTGCATTAAAACTTTCGTACGGATTTTGAGTTTTTCCGTGTAAACATTTTTTTAAAAGATTTCTGTCACACAAATCCATATAAACAGGCTTTATCGTGTTAACAATATTTTGTGGCAGGCCCAAAGATTTATCCTGGTACACAATATTTGAAGCTTTAGCCCGTTGAAATTTACACCAACTTTCATCTCCGACAGGGCACTGTCCATGTTTTGGCTGATGTTTTGATGAGCAACAATGAAAGAAGGCAGCAATAACAGCAGACTGCATTTTGTCCAAATTCCCAATATTGCTTCGAATAGCAATCCCATAGTAATTTTGTAACTTATTAATTAAACCATCAGTTAATTTACCTTTTCCCCCGAGTCCTTTATTTCTGCTTTTCAATTTTCGAAGCCTTGTTCCAACTCTTTTTTGAATATGCCCTATACATTCTAGCTTCGTAACAGAATCTTTCCCGTAAATGTCCTTCACGGCATCAAAAGCTTTGGAATCCCCATCCCCATAATAGTCAGTGTATCGTAACATTCTATGATCTTCCGACCTCTCAAAAATACGATAAGCCCCAACCGGTTCCATGCTGGATGAAGATCTTTTATGATGATTACACTGCAATTTCACATTTTGTTGTTCCGTCTTTGAATTACATTTTCTACAAAACTGAGATAAAGTTTCAAAGTCAATAACTTTCCCAGTATCAACAGATATTGCACTAACACAACCATTTAGCGAAGAAAAACCACGACACACGCTGCCAGGTACCATCCACCCAAACACCACAATTTACAGTACCATGTATAGATTTTTTTAATTGCCTAATACCTTTTACTGCGTCATTCATTATTTTTTCTCCAATGGAAATAGCAGCACTGAGGAGTTTTTTTTCTTGTTGGCGGAATGCAAGCTTTGAGAGAAAGGGAGGTAGATTCAAAACAGCACAAAGTTTTCTTCCTGCTGAAACACCTCTACCAATCAATCTTAATCCATAAACAAAACGAGTATTGAGTTCATTCGTTTTGTCTAACTTTTTAGAAGTACAAAATGCCGATGTGAAACTGCAATTTTTGCAGTGCAAAGAAAAGTTTGAAGATAATCCAAACCTTGAATCTTCTACAAGATAAAGGCTTCCTGCTGTACACATTTTTGTTGGGCAACACAATAAGGAAAAAATACCAATTAAAATTTCCAGATCAATCAATCTGTTTCCAGTTAAATGTTCTGAAATGTTACTTACATCATTATTTACCTCATTACATTGTTGCAGCTTCATTGAACTGGCGGTCATAATTTCTTCATTAGATGAAACAGTTTCAGTGCTTGTATTTTGGTTTCCATGAAACTTTCTTTTACGGGGACGATATGAACGACATTTACCCATGATTTCAGGTAAAATAAATTAAAGATTAAATTAAAATAATTTAAATTCTAAAAATAAAGCAAAATAGAGAAAAAAAAGAATTAAAATAGGCGTGGTAAATCTAACGTCGAATGTAAACAAACACGGAATAGCGATAGTCTTAAAATGCCGTTGCCAATCGTTTGCAACAAAATTATTTGAAATAATTATTAGCAAACTGTGGCTTTTTTTTTTAGTAAGCAGATAATTAAAATTTGGTTTTGAAACTTCATTTTAGGGAAATAATAATTAAACACTGCATATGTCGCTCACTTCCGGACCAGATTACATTACTTCCGGTTTCGTTTTCAACTACTATGACTTATTTAAATTGCTATAATTAGAGTTCTAATTTACGTAAAATTAAAATAAAGACTGTTTTGGAATCTTAGACTGGGGCTTGATTTCACAATCATAAAAAAAAATTCGACTTTTTTGTCAAAAAACACTTTTTCAACCTAGTCGGATACCTTGAGTGAGGGAGTGTGTCGCTTTTTCCCTACATTTGCACAGATGACATGTATAAAGCTGACGCAGTACAGAAAGCATATACGTGTATAACAAAGAATCGAAGAAACTGAAATAAAATCATCGATATAAGAACAACTCTTTAATTGTAAAGAAGTAATAATAATATAATAAAAATTTTGAAGTCAATTCCAACTTAGGTCAACAAAGAAAAATATTATGTTAGTTACTCTTTATTAAATAGTTACAATTAATATAAATATATATATACATATGACACAGTGGCGCACACAGGAATTTTTCAAGGGGGAGGGGGGTCCGGGGTCAAAATTTCACCATTATTGTATCATGCTCCTTTTGATTTTGTCGGTTTTCGGGAACAAAACACAGTAAAAAGCTAATTATTGAATAAATAATTAGCATTAATTACTAAAATTATTCATTAATAACAAATACTTAATTAAATTTTATATATACTTAAATATATACTTAAAATTATATATACTTAAAATTATATATACTTAAAATTATATATACTTAAAATTATATATACTTAAAATTATATATACTTAAAATTATATATACTTAAAATTATATATACTTAAAATTACTATATACTTAAAATTATAATCAATCGGGAAGAAATCAAGGGCCCCAGGACCCCCTCTTGTGTGCGCCCCTGATATGACAGAATCCCACACTATTAAGTGACAAAATAGAAAGCGATTTTCCCTGCCATTTTCTTTTCTATGTAGGGTGTTGGACTATTATTTGGTTTGTTACCATTTATTCCTTAATTAATTATTCTAATAAAATAGTACAGTAAAAATAGTCACACTCTTAGAAATTAAGCTATCACAGGTGGGATTTGAAACCACGACCTCTGGATTAGAAGTCCAACGCGCTATCCATTGCGCTACAGGGAAACAAGAAGCTGTTTTTCCTTTCTATGTATGGTGATGTACTATTATTTTTGTTTGTTACTATTTATTCATTAATCAAATTTAATTAATAAACTAATATTTGAAAAACTGCATTAACAGCAAGTGTCATCCACTACAAGTTGTATTTGAACTTGAGTGGTTGAATAAAAAGTATTTTATTAAGGTTGTTTTCACCATATGCACAAGGCCTCAATTTTTCCGGACTGAAAAAATGCTAAAAAAATTTGTTAAATTGTAACTCATGCATTTGTTTATAATATAGTGTTTTTAAATTTTCAAAATATTTAATAAATCCTTAGTTTTTACTTTTAACATGTAAAGGAATAGCTCATTTAGCATTATGGTATAGGTGAAAAATGCGGAACACATTTTATTAAAGAAAATAAGTGTCAACTGGGATAAAAATGAGTAGTATGATAAAATGAGTGATTCTCTACAGCAGAGGTTCCCAAACTGTTTTGTCTCATAGACCCCTTGCCATGTTTTTTGGCTTTGTGTAGACCCCTACTTACATAATATTAAATTTTTGCAAACTTATCAACATAAATGTTTTTTGACAGCTGCTATAGGACTACTTACTTTAAAAATTTTATGTTTCTAACTGTAGTTAAGTAGAGTGTTTAAAACTTAAAAAACACATAGGAATTAATTAAATTAAAATTTAATTTACATATGAAATAATTGTTACATAAAATAACTGAGAAACAAACCAATTTTTTAATGGGTGGGATGAATCTGTTGCTTCAATTACAAGTTTTCAATATTTGGCTTTAAACTTTTCAGGTTTAACCCTAAATCTCCTCAGTTAGTAGTATCCCTTCTTTCTTTTTTTCTTTCGGTTTTTATTTTGGAGATTGGCAAGCGTGCTGAAATTCCTCCTCTCTGGGAAAAGGAATTAAAAATTTCCTTGAGATGTTCCATAATTCGGGATAAATAACAGGTATACCTTTTTTAAAGCAAAAATTGCTGACATTTGTTTCTAAACTTTACTTTAATATCTTCGTTGGGGCTATTAAAATCAGTTCCTTTTGTAATAAGACATTTTTCTTCTTCTATTTTTTATGTGACAGTATGAATTCATTACCTACTGTAATATTACCATATTTTCAAGCCTAGTTTCAAAACCTGAATAAAGGGCATTTAAATGTTGAACATAGGTTAAAACGTCATTTTTCTAGCAGACTGCCTGTGACAAATTGAGAAACTGTTAACATTCAACAAACACTGAAATTATGGTTCTTTTTAATAAAATTAATGCTGTCGTCTTGTAACTGCAGATTAATCCCAGTAAATTTAGTAAATAAAGGCTCTTAAATAGGTAAATCTGGTTCATACTTGATTAATTTTCGTTTATAATTAAAGTCATGATTTAGTTTAGGCTATCTTAGACCCCCATTGACACCTCATGGACCCCGAAATTATTTTTTCGCTGACGTGGACCCTTGCGGGTCGTCATAGACCCCTGGGGGTCCATATGGACCATTTTGGGAATCACTGCTCTACATGATAGTGAAGCCAGAATATTATATTAATATTTGAGTACTTTTATAACTGATAAAATATTCCGGATTTGGGTCCTTTTCTTTAATATTAGCCGAAAACAGTCTTAACGATTGAAAATTCGAACAAGATACCTATATATATATATATATATATGGGAGAGTGTGAACTAATAGTAGGAATTGAAAAATATCTAATTTTTCCGGGTTTTTTTTTTCCTATTTTTTTAAAATGTCGTATATTGTTAGTTGAAATGCGTCACACAACTCCACCGACCGGAGAGAGGAATGTAAATTCCTCTCTTAACACCTTCTAAAACGATATATTTACATATTCTTGACAGGATACAAGTATTATATCACTGTATCAGCATTACCTTCAAAGGGAAAGAATGAGAGCCACAAAGGATCACAGAACACAACAGCATACATCGTTTTCATGTTAGAGGAGCAATCCGCTTTAAAACGTCTTTACCCTTATCCGTCACAATCTGCCAGGCTAAACCGGTCCGGATTAGGACCTACTAGGCACGGAACATCGCTTAAGATGGAGGGAGATCAGCACTTGTTTACTTTGCCGTCAACTGAAACCTCACAATTATGCCTCGCTTTCAATGACCCAGAGATGTTTATCGGTCTTGTACTGCAACCGGATTACGCCCCTCTCCCATCCCAACCCTCCCCCTGGGTCTGGGGAAGGGCAGGAGGGGGAACCCTTTTTGAAAAAGGAGGGGAGGTTGAATGAGGACGTGGTTTCGGAGAGGACTTAATCGATGTCAGGAAACTTCATCGTGAACTGGAATTAGCCATCGCCACCACAATTCGCCATTGTACCAAATCCTTTAGATCTAAAGTGAGAGATTTTGAGGATCGGACACGGTTTAAAAACCCATAAATCGGAGCATTTTGGGGTCGGGAGGAGTAGAAGGGAAAGGGGGTGGGGTAGAGGGATATTTGTAAGCGATCGGGGTGAGGTAAAGGTGTGGGGCTGTATTTGTTTGTGTTGTGATTGAAGATGAAATAAGATTTGTTTTCGTTTGTTTCCTCTCTCGGTTGAGAGATTTATTTATGATTTTTGATAGAGGGTTCTCATATGGTAGATATAAGCTTGTCGATAATTCATTTTTTTAATTCCATGAAAAAAACTGCAGTAAATCACAACGCGGTACATAAAGGGTTATACAATGTACAATTTAAATTATATTTTTTTACATGTCTTTTTAAAAAATTCGTAGATATTATTTAAAAAATTTTGCTTCTCGTTTGATTTGAATACAACAGGAAATATAATTGCGAAAGTATAAATACTTTCCGTAAAATACTCTCTCTCTTTTTAATAGGAATAACGTTTTGCAAATGCGTATACTATAAGACCTCGCATAATGCTGTTTCGTTCAGCGCTCTGTTTTAGTTAAACGCTCTTATATTTGAACTGTGGGATTCCCCAAAATTGCACGTAGCGTTAGGCTTCCTGATATCCGAAATAGTTTATCTGTGTTTCTTCTTTCCTGTGGTGTTATACGAACATATTTGTACCGTTTCAAACATTTGTTGACGTTATTGTAAGTATAAATTTATATAATATAACGATTGCCATAGTGACAAATATTATGATTCATGGGTGATAATAAAAAATAAGAAAATAAAGCAACAAGTAAAAGCATTTCACTAGAAACTAAAATGCAAGTGATTAGAAGATTAGATACTGGTGAACGTCAATCTGAAATTGGTGCTGCGTTGAATTTGGCAGCTTCAAATAAAAGGACCATTCTTAAGAATAAGGAAAAAATACTGTCATCGACAACTGCAACTACGACAAGCTCTGTAACTGGAATTACCCGTTCTAGAAATAATTCAATAGAGGAAATGAAAAAAAACGACTTTCTAAATGGATTGACGACGAAATTGAACGCAATATACCCCTAAGCTAATATATTATAATGGAAAAAGCAAGAAGAATTTTTAATTGAAAACGTAAACATACTGATTTAGAATTTTATTTATTTGTATATGTAAATTCATTAAGTATATTTCTATATTTGTAAGAAATAAATTTTGCTCTATTGTTATAAAAACATAATAAATTTAATGGCAAAATACCAGACCAATTTTCTCTACCCATCTTTCCCTAACTCCATTATTTACATGATGAGATAACCTCGTTTAACGCTGTTTCATATTACGCTCTTCTTTGATGGAACGCATACCCCGCGTTAACAGGGGTCTTACTGTATTTGGGAAAAAAAATCCATTTTTTTCTAACACAAACTAATAGAAACTTTCTTCAACTGTTGATATAATTCATTTATTCGAGATTTATTATTCGTTAAATAGGGGGTTTTGCCATCATTTTAATCGGAAAAAGAGAAAAATTCGTTAAATCGTGAAATTCGTTAAATAGGGGTTCGTTAATCCGGGGACCGATTATATTTCGAACCAAGGTATGTTTATTTTTCATGCACCAACATGTAAATCTCCTTGGTTGTTGCTATTTTAAATGTCACATCACTTGGCAGAAAATAAGGTATGAGAGGGGAGAGTTGTTCTTATGATAAATAAAACAATAAGTGCTATAAGAAAGTGAACTCGTGATGCTTACATGAGGTCGAAGTTAAGAGATTAGAATACATATGTTTTACCTTTTCATTCTCTTAAATTAAAAGTTATAGACGTTCACACATGACTTTCGCATGCGTTTGTTACTAAATAGCAAACAATTCCAGAAGGGACTTTCATGTCTCACAAAGAAGTTTACAATTTTGTATTAACAAAATTGGTTTTGAATAAAAGCTATTTACACCTAAATTATCTTTTTTTTTCACGAGTGCTTTTATTTTTTAGTACGTTGAAATGAAAGAGGACAGAATTCACATTCAGAGTACGCGTGCTGCTAAATAAGTTGATTTTAATTTAAATAATATACTCGGTCATAAATTATTTCCAGTCAATCAAACCTAAATTAATAGTTTAAGGATTCTTACTTTTCATTAAAAAGTAAAAATTGTTATAATTAAAAAAAAAAAACTTTTTTTTGTTTTGTTTTCAATGCAGTACTTTTTTTTCAAAAAGAGAGAGGGATTGTATCAAGTTTGCTTACTTTCTTTGTGCTTGTGCTTACACTATCCCCTATACCTGGAGTCGTTGAAACGCAGCTCGCGAACCACATACAGTTCTTTGCCTAGACGGTTGTGGCTCTTTAGACTTCCACCTATACATATCATTAAAAAATTATTATGTCCCCTAAAAATTGTTTTTTCCCCTTTTACTTATAAATCATACATTATATTACATTATACATTCATTTGCGCACAAAGGGTCCACGGATCTGGACACCATAACTCTTGAACTTTTTTCGATTGATGATAATTCTATGGACATAGTACATAAAATTAATTAAGTATTTGTAGTTAACAATTTATTTTATTAATTAATGCTAATTATTAATTCAGTAATATAATTTACTGTTTTTTGTTTCCAAAATCG